ATTAAGGCTGACCTTTTATGGAGCCAATAAAAAGCCCTTTGGAGAGACTGGCCTGATACCTTGTCTACATAATTACAAGGTTCCTGGTCTTCCAGTAAGTAAAGAATGTAACTTTCTGACAGGCCAAAACCTTGATATTTTGGGGACTTCCAGAAGAGAGGAATTCACCCAACTCACACAGGTAATCAGAGAGTAAGTCAAATCCTTGGCTTGGCTTCCTAAGACCCAAATGGCATTTAAAGGTCTAATCTGAGATTCCTTATGAATGTCCCAGCAAAGCCAACTCAAAACAAACAAAAAAAAGAGCTTATATGATGAGCCATTACTCTTGCTGGACTTTATGCAAATAATCTGGCCAAAAACTAAACTTATTTTGCAAATAAATTAGTCTTGTCATAGATACCTTTGATAAATTTGAAAAACTTGGAGAAAAAATTATTTTTCAAAAGGAAACACTAACACACCTGTTATCCGATTCTAGCCCTGTGTTTTTAATCTGTTTGTAAAGCTTGTACCTTCCAGGTTACAGTTCAACATCAAGACGGTGATAACCCAAGGATTCCAACCCAACCTTTCCTGAGAGGAACTAAGTCCCTGTAAATCACTGTATCAACCAATGAGAGACTTTATACCTCCAAAATGCAGGCAGGGACTACACCCACGGTCTGCAGGAAGTAGTTTCAGAAGAAAGAGACCTCCAGCCCCTTTTGCCTTAAGAATAAGGAAGATAAAATCTCTCAGGGGGGAATGAAACAATAAGGCTAGGCCTGTGAACCAAACTGTTAGGTCTCTGAATCTGACTGAAATCACCAAAGACAGACTCTGCCCATGGGGATGAAAGCCTAAACCTACGCTTCATGGGGATGAAAGCCCTGTTAGGTCTCTGAATCTGACTGAAATCACCAAAGACAGACTCTGCCCATGGGGATGAAAGCCTAAACCTACGCTTGGTGGTGCGCAAAACCAAGGACTATATATAAAAACTAATGATTATGAGCTCGAAAATTCAATAACCCTCCTCCAAACTTCCTGGTCTTCCCTTTCTGAGGTAGTCCTCCAAAACCGTAGAGGACTTGACCTCCTCTTTCTACAACAAGGGGGACTCCATTTAACATTAAAGGAAGAATGCTGTGTATATACGGATCATACTGGAGTTGTTAAAGCCTCCATGAAAAAATTAAGGGAACGCATTAAACAACGGGAACAAGACCAGGAACAATCCTCTAACTGGTTCGAATACTGGTTTACTTTTCTCCATGGCTAACAACTTTAATTTCCAGCCTTATGGGACCATTAATAATCCTCCTCTTGCTAGTAACCTTAGGACCGTGCCTTTTCAACAAACTCCTTTACTTGATCCGGTCCCGCATACAAGAGGTCAAGTTACTGGTTCTCAATTCCCAATATGACCAAATTCCACTAGAAGATTTGGAACACTTAAGTTGGGGACCAGATCTTGGCCCTTAAGCAAAGATTCGCTTTTAAGGAACCCCCTTAAAATCAGTGGGGTATGAAGTAATGCCCTCTTTCTAAGAGCAGGACCAACAGCACTTAAGATAGCCCCTCCGCTGTGTGAAAGTTAGGTGGGAAAGTGGGGATGGGATGGGAGGAGCTCCGCTAACTGCATAATTAGCTCATGTACTGTTGGCTTGCTTGCATTGGTTAATACCTCTTGGCGCGGTGATCGGGCGACCAAGTTGCTGTGCTTGCAGCTTTAAAAACCGAGAAAAAAAGACAGTTCAGCGCCACACCTTGAATTGGCTGCTGCAGTCCCGGCCACTGGAAATAAAAATCTTTTTCTCTTTTTCTATGTCAGTCTCCAAGGGTGATTTTCTCCCGACACCTATAACAATTCTACTCCATGATATTTAGCTGTATTAATTGTAACTCTAAATAACAATGTAGGACAGCAGAATGCATGTTCTTCAAGTAAAGAAGACCGGCAACGGGATCGCAACCCTCGGTGTCGCGCCTGCACCGCGCTCAACCAGTGAGTGGACCAGTCTCTATATGGGATCCGAACCCTCGGCGGGAGCGCCGCCACGCTCCCAAGCGCTGCACTCTACCAAGTGCACCACCGGGCCGGCCCCGTAACTTTTTGCCTTCAAAAGGCCCCTTAAACTTAGACTCGGGGCTGCTCTCTTACCAGAATATCTGGAGAGATAGTCGCCGGCTGGCTAATAAAGATCCCCTTTTTTAAACTCTCAATTGGGTGTTCTAGTTCCTTTTCCGTGCAACAGCCTCACAACAAGATGATGCCAAAAACATAATCCATAAAACAAAAACTGGATAAATTGGACTTCATCAAAATTAAAAACTTTTGCTCTGCAAAAGACACTGGGGTTTTTTTGTTTGTTTGTTTGTTTTTTGTCCTTTTTCAGACCGGCTGCACCGCGCTCAACCAGTGAGCGCACCGGTCATCCCTATATAGGATCCGAACCCGCGGCGGGAGTGCTACCGCGCTCCCAGCACTGCACTCTCCCGAGTGCGCCACGGGCTCGGCCCAAAAGACACTGTTAAGAGAATGAAAAGCACAGACTGACAGAAAATATTTGCAAATTGTGCTTTTGATAAAAGAACCAAAATATATATATATATACACCTCTCAAAATTCCACAAGAACACAAATAACCCAATTGAAAAGGACAAACCATCTTGAACAGATATGTCACCAAAGAAGAGATATAAATAGCAAATTATTATAAAAAAAATACTCAACATCATTAACCATTAGGGAAATGCAAATTAAAACCACAATGAAATACCTCTATACACCTATTAGTATGGTTAAAAAAAATTTTTTAAATGGCAATAACAAGTGCCAGTGAGAATGCAGAGCAAGTAGAACTCTTATAAATTGCTGGTGGAAATGCGAAATGGTTCAGCCACTTTGGAAAACAGTTTGACAGTTCCTTATGAAATTAAATTTACAACTACTACTATATGATGCAGCAAACCTACTCCTAGATAATTTACCCGAGAAGTATTCATAGAGAAACCTGTACACAAATGTTTCTAGCAACATTTTCATAATTGTCTAAAACTGGAAACAACACAGATGCCATTCGGATGGTGAATGGACAGACCTTGGTATATCCATATAATGGAATACTACTCAGCAATACAAGGGGTCTTCTAAAAGTTCATGGAAAGATTTGTATTATCTTTTAATTCTATTTTTCCACGAACTTTTTCAAGTACCCTTGTAAAAAAAAATGAGCTACTGACATATGCAGCAACTTGGATGAATCTCACATGCATTATGCTAAATGAAAGAAGGCAGAGTCAAAAAGCTATATACTATACCATTCCGTTTATATGACACTCGAGAAAAGAAAAAATTACAGTGACAGAGAACTGATCAGTAGTCACCAGGGGTTATGTGTGGAGGGAGGGTGCTACAAAGGGTTAACACAAGAGAATTCTTTGTTTTTTTGCACAAGAGAATTCTATTGGTAGTGATGGGATTGTTTTATCTCTTGATTGAGGTGGTAGTTACATGACCCTATGAATTTATCAAAACTCATAGAATTATAAGGGCCAATCCCCTGGCTCACTCAGGAGAGTGCGGCACTGGGAGCGCAGCGGCACTCCCACCGCGGGTTCGGATCCTATATGGGGATGGCCAGTGCGCTCACTGGCTGAGCATGGTGCAGGCGACACCAGGCCAAGGGTTGCGATCCCCTTACCGGTCACAAAAACAAAAACAAAACAAAACAAAAAACCTCATAGAATTATACACCAAAAAGAACAAATCTTACTGTATGTAAATTAAAAAATAAACAACAAAACATAAGTTACTTACCAGCTAAATACTGAAACAATATGTCTGGTGCAATAACTAAGAGGCCTGGGTAAGAGCTTCTTATACTTTGGGAACACAGACAGGGGAAAGAAGAACCCATTGTGCTGGGGAGATCAGGGAAAGCTACACAGGGAGGATGACATTTGAAATGGGCCTGAGGGAGAAACTGCAGGGGCAAAGATGGAAAGATAAAGAAGTGCACATCTAGTGTGGCAAGGATATCGGGTATAGGTGAAGACTTTGCTTGCCATACCAAGAAGTGTTGATTTTATTCCATAAGTAAAGAAGAGCCAAATGAAATTTTATGGAAAGGAGCAATGTGCTCTTATCTATGTCTTATCACTCTTGCAGCTATGTGTACAATGAGAAGGGGGAGAAGAAAAATGCAGGAAGATTAATGAAGAGGTACATGTAACATTCTGGGGAAAAGATGAGGATTAACCTCAGACAGTGGTAAAGAAAAGATAATTTCAAATGCTGTCTCAAAGGGCTACTTTATAAGATGAGATAACTGATGATATGACGCATGAGGAATGGACAAGCCATTCCTAAGTAAGGCTTCTGACTCAGATAGGAAAAGTAAGAAGAAGAGCAGGTCTAAGTGGTAGGAGAGCTGACAAGTTGTATTTGTGACTTGCTGAGTTTGAAGTGCCTGCAAAACACTCATGGAATGTCTATGAGGCAGCTACTAATGTAGGCTGTATTATTTTGAAACTTGGTGCCTTTATCACTCAGACTCCCCACATGGGTTTCTGGGCTTGATTCACAGAGAAACCAGACACTGACCAGAGCTAAACTGGCCACAGGATCACTAAAGGGCAACCTAGGCAAAGTAGATCAGAAATGAGCTCTGCACCTCTGCTCCAGAGTCTCCCTGCAACTTGACACAAGGGAGCAAGACAGAAGCCGCAGGTGCCATGGGAGAGACATAAATGGGACACTGTACCAGTAGGCCAGAACAGCCAGTTCACGCAAATCAAGTGAAAACTATGCCAAATGGAGAAAACCAAAGGGATCTGATCATACAAGAGAGTCCCCACTCAGAGATCATACATTCTGAAAACCAGGAAAGGAATCAAACAAATCTTCCCTTTGACTTAGAGTTATTCTCTTTCAGACAGAATGTGCTTGTCTTTTGAGCTTCTACAAAAGTAAATTTGGGCATCTTCTCTAGACATATACTTCTTTTTCTTACCATGGGCCTTGGCTCTAACATACTTGTTCCTCATCTCCTGCTGCTGATGCACGTAGGTCTTCCAGGTCTGAAACATCAGGTTATACAAGTAGTACCTGAGGAACCAAAAAAGCAAATGGCATTTTTTTAAAACAAAATAAAAATAGCTCCTAATCCAACACACTTAGTCTGTTCTTTACTCAGCAGAAATTAACATGAAAGTTTCTGACTCAAAAAAGCCATACCTAAGTTAAAACTGAATTTCCGGGCCGACCCCGTGGCTCACTCGGGAGAGTGTGGCGCTGGGAGGGCAGCGGTGCTCCTGCCGCGGGTTCAGATCCTATATAGGGATGGCTGGTGCGCTCACTGGCTGAGCGTGGTATGAGCGACGCCAAGCCAAGGGTTATGATCCCCTTACCAGTCACATAAGAAAAATAAATAAATAAAATGTTAAAAAAAAAAAACCCTGAATTTCCTACAATTTCACAATAGTGAATCCTATTCTCCTTGACAGAGAGTCATTCTTAATGCTTTAAAGTGTCACTGAGGAAGAAAAAGCTTGACTTCTCCAGGAGTAACTTCACTTAAGGCATGTGCAAAGCTGAGACATTTGCAATGACAGTCATATTTTAATCATCTTAATCATCCACTCTACGTAAAACATTACTTCTCTCTTGCACCGAAACATGGTCAATGACACATTTTCCTTTTTCTTCTCCTTCTTGATACGTACACTGTACACCTTAAAATCTTCATCCCTCCATGTTTTCACTATCCCAGTTCCTAAGACTTGACTTAATACTCTGTCAGCTTATTAGAACTGTTCAACAGATCTATATTTTATCTGAAATAGTCATAAATCAGAACTTCTACCCCAAAGAAACTAAATAAAGAAGTGACTATAATGAAAATGACTACCATTTTAAGGGCTGGCCAGTTAGCTCAGTTGGTTAGAGCATGGCATTTCATTTTAAAGAAATGCTACCAAGGTCAAGGGTTCAGATCCCCCAATAGCCAGCCACCAAAAAGAAAAAAAAAAAAAAAGATAGAGAATGAATACCATTTTAAAGACACAATGTGGGGCCGGCCCGGTGGCACAATGGATAGTGCGCCGCTTGGGAAGCGCGGCGGCGCTCCCGCCCGAGGGTTCGGATCCCACATACAGACCGGTTCCCGCTCACTGGCTGAGCGAGGCGCGGGAGCAACACCGAGGGTTGCGATCCCGTTGCCGGTCCCGGTCCGGTACGGGGGCGACACTGAGGGTTGCGATCCGTTGCCGGACACGGAAAAAGACAAAAAAAATAAATAAATAAAGACACAATGTGCAAGATATTATATTAAATTTTTTTTTTTTAAAAAAGAGGTCTAATAAATTCACTCACACACACACAAAAAAACCCGGGGGGGCGGGGGAAGAAGATATAACAACTACAATTTTTTGAAGTTGTTATGACAAGCAAACAGAAAGGACATTGTTGGGTGGGAGGGAGGAGTGGGTGGAGGGAGGGAGGTTTCGGTGATGGGCCATAATAATCAACCACATTGTATATCGACAAAATAAAAATTTAAAGGAAAAAAAAAAAAGAGGTCTAAAAATTTGTATTTGATATAATTCCCAAGTTTTATTTATTTATTTATTTATTTATTTATTTATTTATTGTCCTTTTTGAGACCGGCCGCACCGCGCTCAGCCAGTGAGCGCACCAGTCATCCCTATATAGGATCCGAACCCACGGCGGGAGCGCTGCTGCGCTCCCAGCACCACACTCTCCTGAGTGCACCACAGGCTCGGCTCCCAAGTTTTATTTTTTCCTCCACTTATCACTGGGAATATAAATGTCAAGAATTAAGAGGGTTTTATTATTTCTCTCTATTTTCTTAATGTACTTCCTATATTGGGCACATATTTTCTCCTGTAAATTGAAACAACTTATTATTTAAAAAAACAGAACACTCCCAGAATTAGAAATTATATAGAAGTGAGAATCAGTGAGATAACCCCATTCATTTTTAAAAAAATTTTTAACTAATTAATTTATTTTGGGTCACAAAACAAGTCTTAATATATTTGAAAAGATGTAAGATCATAGAAAATATGTTCTCTGACCACAATAACAGAAGGAAATTTAGAAAATTCACAAATATGTGGAAATTAAACAACACTCTCCTAAATAAACAATGCTAAAAGGAAAAATCAGAGAGAAATTAGAGAGTACTTTGACATAAAAATTAAAGCACAACATATCAAAATTTATAGAATGCAGGGCTATGCAGTGCTTAGAGGAAAATTTATACTTATAAACACCTGTAAGAAAAATCTCAAATCGGTAATGTACACTTGTACCATAAGAAAATAGAAAAAGAGAGCAAAAGCAAATATAAGTAGGAAATAAAGACTATAACAGAAACATATGAAATAAGGAATTAAAAAACAATAGAGAAAAAACTAAAAAACACAAAAGTTGATTTTTTAAAAAAGATCAACAAAATTTGCAAAACTTTGTCTAGACTGACCAAGGGGAAAAAAGAGAGAGAAGACCAAAATTACTAAAATCAGAAAGCAGGGGCATTATTACATTGCCATTAGGGTTTTTTTTTTTTTAAAGATGACCGATAAGGGCCGGCCCGGTGGCGCACTGCTACAGTGCACCGCTTGGGAAGCGTGGTGGCGCTCC